ATATATATATATATATATATATATATATATATTTTTTTTTTTTTTTTTTCAAATTTTTTTTAAATATTTGGAGGAGTTAATTAATTATTTTTTATTTTTTATTTTTTGAGTTTTAAGAATATTTTTTAAATGGGTTATTTTTTTTTTTTTATGTTGAAAAACTAATTTTTTTTTTTTTTTTAAATGCATATCTAGTATGGGAAGGTCAAGTAGGTTGGTGATTAGATAACATGAAAATCAAAGACTGAAGTCTCGGTGAATGGCGGTCATAACTGTAACCATTCTAACGTAGCAAAATTTTTTGTCGAGCAAGTTCCGACCCACACGAAAAAACGTAGTAGTCTAGGTACTGTCTCAAGGAGAAACTCGATGAAATAGACATGTCTGTAAAGATGTAAATCATATAAAAAGAATTTATAAAATTTCATTTCCTCCGAAAATATCGAGCCATCAATTAGATACATACTTGAAAAAGCTAGCATTCGATCCAATTATTAAAATATTGATACTTGTTTAGAAAAAGTAGGCTGAGTTTTTAATTTTTTTTTATATATATATTAAATTTAGTATAACCAAATTAATTAGAGAAAATTGAACGGTAGGACGAATCATATTAATCTGTAAATAAAATTACTGGGTATACGCCGTGGGCTATCCCAGGATAACCAAAAAGGGAGAGAACGAACTCGGCTGGAAGCCGGAGGGATATTAAACTCTGAACTAGGTCTGCAAGGAGGAAGAAAGAACACCAAATGGATGCTCAAGCCAAGAGAAAGGCGTTGTTTCGCGCCAAATTGAATGCCCAGAAGAAGGATAAGCGCATCGATTCTCCTCTTGTCAGGTGAATATGGAGTTTCAAGGTCCTACACGGATTTCCCTTATCTATTTTGTCTCTCTGTTCTATTTCCGACTTTGATTTGTGTGGTGTAGTAGACTATTCGGTTATTCTCAGGAAGAAGTTATCGATAGGAAATGATATGCTCTAATGGAATATACAAATTTCAAATTAGTTTTACATCTAGCTCAGTATCAAGTTCTCCTTGCAGTTTTAATTTTCCTATTTTTTGTAGCGTCATTTCTATCTTTTTTCTGTATAAGAAGGTATCAGAGAAATGTTCGACAATGATATAACCTACCAACATTGAGGAAGATTATATTATTGTGAATTATATTAGTTGTATTTCATGTCGAAAATTTTATGAGTTTAAGATTCATCATTTTTAACTTGCGCAGGTACAATGAGCTGGAGCAACCGGTCTGTAGGGTGTGTGATATTGTCTTGAAATCAGAGGCTTACTGGGATGCACACCAGTCTTCCCGTAGACATCACGAGGTAATGTTCTACTATTTCAAATCTTATTAAAAGATATTCACGGCCACATCTGCATCATCAACGTTGATACCCACAATTGTAGTCCTGCAGATACTCACTTTAAACCTTTAAGAGACCTGAAAAGCTCAATATTAGCATGAAGGTTACTGTTGTTGAGTTTGCCAATGTCACTAGTTGTAAAGAGGGTGATATCTTTTGTGAACTTAAGATGATTAATATGCATCGAGTCTCTTCCCTCCACAAAGACCTGAAGAAAACTTTCCTTTATCCCCTTATCCAACATGGTCACTTTGCCTACTATGTGCTAATTGTGTAGATTAATATCAGCTGAAGGTCGAGCATTTTCGTCTTTGTTTCCAAATATTTTGTTCTCAAATTTTGCTTGCAATTACATGAGATGCTGCCGTGAATTGTTTCTTCATCAAATTATTAACCCTCTTATTGTGGGACGAATTAAAGTCCGAATATATTTAATGTCTGAAATGAATATCTATCTGAGAACTGATTTATAGTTTTTTGCTGAGAATTATATTAAGGTTTAGAATATTAGTAGGAAGGAAGATCAGGTACTCCAACGAATTCTAGGTTCAATTATTTCCTTATAATTTATTGTTGGTGGAATGCCGTCCTTATTCCCTAGACTATAGTTTTTTTTGTGCTGATTGAAACACACACGGGTCCCTTTCTCCAAGTTTTTTTTAAAAATATATATATATATATATATATATATATATATATATATATATATATATATAGTTCTGTACACTACACGATGAATGCTCCATACGACCTTTTCTTTTATTTGTTTCTTCATTTTATTTAATTGTATATCCTTGTTTCCATTTTTCTGTTTCCAATGCATCACCTCTACCTGCTGTAGATAGGGAACTTAAAGTCCTAAATCCTAATACAACCTAGTTTGAGCTGGCTTTTGGTCAAATATCTACTAATGGGACATTATTGTAAATGACAGGCAATAAATAATCTCAAAGCTAATGCAGCAGGTAGGTCTGGAGTTAACAATATTAAAGCCGAGGCCCCTACTGAACTCCCTGACAGCAAACCAATAGATTCGAGAGAGCAGAAAACATCGACTGGGACATCAACAGAGTTACCAAAACGTCAGTCATCATCCGTGCTTCCTCCAGATTTTTTCGATCAGAGTGCCAAAAGGCTCAAAACTGGTAAGGAAATAGGCATGCATGAGATACTTATTATGCATGTAGGCCTCAATAATATATATGATGTCCAGGCATCTTTAGATATATGAACTTATATTATTTTATGAACAAATATATGGTTGTGCATAAATATTATTTATATATGTACGACAACAAATATGTATATATATGTATGTACATGATAGTATAGGTGTCACTATTATTATGGTTAAAACTAAAACATGGCTCAGTTGGATCCATCTCAATATGTAATGAGATGGGAATAAGACATTGTACGGAAACATATGCAGAAAATGAGTTACTAAGACATTATTTGGACTGTAAATGCTGCAAATTGTTTTATGTCACGATCAAATTTGTCAAGAAATCTCTACACCCAGTTAGTCAATTGTTAAATGTTTGGCGTTGACAATTGTTCCAATTTGTGTTCGATATTCTTGAGATTTATTTGGTTCTTAGTTTTTGTATAATTGATTTCCGCCCTTATATTCAGTGCATCTGTGGTATTCTGATATCACTTCTCAACATGCCTTATTTGGCTTGTGTCCTTCCAGGAAAGGAATCTATTAAGATCGTCGAACCAGATTCACGTAGTGGTAGCATTGCTCAGTCAGAAGTGATTGCAAAGGGCAGTGACCTTAGTCAGAAATCTTCCACGAATGGTGGTTCAGAGGGCAAGCAAATAAAGGGAGCTCTTCCTGAAGGTTTCTTTGATGATAAGGAGGCTGATTTGCGTGCGCACGGCATAAAACTTGTGAAGCCTGATGTCAAGTAGGTCCTTCCCACTTGTTATGCATGCACCTTTAAACTTGTTTTGTTGAGTTTGGTATGTTAAGCTTCTGTAATCCTTTTATTATATCTAACGATACTATTTTGTGTCGTCCTTGCTTTTAAGGAAGGTGTTTGCATATTTTTATCCCGATTCGATTTGATTTCTCACTTGTTCCATTGTTTGGTTTGCTGTAAATTCCAACCAGAGATAATATTGGGAAATAGGCTACTGATGATTGGATGTGTCCTAAGAAATTCTATATCTTGGTCTTGTTTGACATTATCTGATGTTTTCACTGTTTCTACATTTTCCAATACCACATGAGTTACATATTTTAATAACTCAATCTGTTTTAAAGATTCTGATGGCTGAATAAATAAACATCGATTTTCTTCAATAATGCCGTGGACTCTCCGACCATTGGTTGTGCCACTTTATATTGTAGTCTGGGTCCTTGGATTGCATGGTATTGAACCATTGAACGTGGTTCCCATTCAAATTTTACTACTTTTCCAGAATTCTATGTTTGTATCTCTATACAAACACATCAGAAAACGGACAACAATGTTAGTGATGAGAACTCCAAATATGGTTGTCGGTCGATTGCGTGTAAGGAATGATCTTATTGAATCCATGCAAAAAAGTGTGCAACTTTCTTGTTCTTCAGAAATATATCGCTGTTGTGCATGCTCCTTTACTCTTTGTAGTTTATGCCATGGATTCTATAGGAGCTTGATTGTGTGTATATTTCATTATCAGAGATGAATACAAGGAATTCGAAAAGTTGATCCAAGAGGATTTGAAAGAGGTGGATGATCGTTTGGAAGAGGAGGAGGTAACACCCTACTACTTAGATCCTTTTTGTTTCCCCGTCGGTAGGTTTAACAATGATATCGACTCGGATTTATGGAATGTTCTGTAGGTCGATGCTGCTGAAATGATAGAGGAAGCTGAAACCTTAGAGCAGAAGTAAGTGTAGCACGATAAAACTTGTCACGTTCTTCTAATCTTCATTCCTGGTTGCACTAAACCTTCTGGGTTTCTGTTGACAGGGCGTACAGGGAGAGAGTGGAAAAGTTGAAGAGGAAGAAAATGGAGTTGAAGAACAAAAAATCAGCAGAACAAAGTAGAGGCAAGCCCGACATTCCTACTAAAGAGTCGAGCCTTGACGACTCTTTGAGTGATGATGACAGTGACACCAATTATACAGTAGATTGGAGAGCTCAACACTCATGATAACAAGTCAGCTCTAAACTTTTGATGTACTTTAAGACGAGATGATGAAAAAGGAGTACAGAATGTGATAATGTTGATAGAAATTTGATGTTTAACCACGCGTTGTAGCTTGGAAAAAGCGTTACGGGCATAGTTGAATGGCCGTAAAATTTTATTGATGACGTTAGAAGTTAAACTTTTACGAACTTTATTTTGTTTCATATACATTATGTATCATCATATAAGCTTTCATGTTGTGTGGTTGGACCCTCTCTAAATTTGGATGAAAGGGTCTAAATTTAAGAGACATCAATCTAGTTAAAGTTATTTGAAACTCAAAGCCGACTACTATTTGTGTGTAGTTAAAAGGATCTCTTAATTTGAATCGTTAGAGCTTTTATTTAAGTCTTATATGAATTATGATCGAAAAAAATAGATTCGAAGTGTGACAAAATTAAATGTTAAATTATAGTTACTTGATACATTTTTTTTCAAATTATTATTGTAGTGAAAAATTCGAACATAACGTAATTGTTCTTTTTGGACTTCTTCTCGAGGCTTTAAAACGCATTGCTACGGGAAGGTTTTCACACTCTTGACCCAGCGTTCTTGCCGGCACTCGTTTCTTTCTCTAATCGATGTACGACCCTCGTCCTCTTTGGGCTTTCCCTTAAGGCTTTAAAAGGCATCTGGTAGGGGAAGGTTTCCACACCCTTGATCCAACATCCTCACTGACATTCGTTCCTTTCTCTAATCGATGTGGAACCTTCGTCCTCTTTGGGCTTCCCCTCAAGACTTTAAAACGCGTGCTAGAGAAAGGTTTTCACACCCTTGGCCCAACGTCCACGCTGGCACTCGTTCCTTTCTCCAATCGATGTAGGACCACCGCCAAATCCACCCACTTTGGGGGCTAGCGTCCTTACTAGCATGCTGCCTCGTGTCTACCCCCTTCCCCCCCTTCGGGCAAGAGTAAGAAGGCTGACACATCGTTCGGTGTCTGGCTCTGATATCATTTGTAACCGTCCAGATCCACTGTTAGCAGATATTGTTTTCTTTGGGCATTCCTTTCCGGGCTTTCCCTTAAGGTTTTAAAACGCATCTGCTAGAGAAAAGTTTCCACACTTAAGTGATTTGTTCTCCTCTTAAACAAGGTGGGACATCACAAAAAATATAAAATATATAAAATATTTTGATTTTAGATAACATGCATAAATAAAATCTCTCTCATATATTTTTTTAATAGAGAAAAAGCGTCTCTAGAAAAAACAAAACTAAAAATTCTGTTAAATTCATGGAATTCTATAGAAAAATTGCATTTGTTTTTCTCTGCCAGGAATTTTGATATTTTAATAAATTCATGAATTAAAAATTTGGTAAAGACCTAATCCAATGAACATAATAGGTTTTTCCATTGGAAAAAAAAAATAAATAAAAAAAGCGCGGGTTAAGGGGAAAAAAAGCGGTACCGTACCGTACCGTTCAGCAAAAACCCCTTAAAACCCGTTTCTTCTTGCTCCACTACCTTCCAGTTCATCATTCCAGAAACCGCTCGAAGCAGACGAGGATGTACACGAGAACAGCTGCTTCCAAATGGTTGAAGCGATTGAGCTTTCGTTCTACAGCATTCAATCGCACTTCCGAAACTCCCACTTCTATCAACGTGCCGATTTTCTCCTCCCGCTGTACGTAATTCAAGCTCGTCACTTAGTTCTCAACTGAATTTGTTGATGCAAAATTGTTGGACCTGCAATTAGGTGAATTATACAAGATTAGGAATAATCTTTCACTTGGAGCTAAGTTCTATGATGTTCGAATAACTGAACTGCCATTAGTTCTTAGCTAGTTTGTGTTGCGAGGCATGTTTTGAACTATATAGGAGTAAGAAACCTTGAGACATGTTATTAATCTCCGACCACGAAATCCAGATTAAACTTGGCTTTCAAATTGTTCACGGCATTGAAAAATGATTGAACGGTTCTTTAATTGATTCACAATTCCCCGAATGGCTTTTATTTTCGCTAATCATTTTTTTTCTTGCAGGCAATGTGAAATCTTCTTCTCGCAATAATAGCAATGACTATCGCGATGGTTATCTCAATGGTTTTCCATGGGTTCTTTTCTCTGGACCTGCTGCAGGTTTGCTGTTTTCACCATTTTATGTACGCGTTTCAGTTTTTATGGTTACTTGTCCATGTATTTGGTCACAGTCAGTGGCTGCTAGCTGGGGCACCTTGTCCTTGGTGGCTAAATTTTGGACAAAATCTCACGGAAGATGAAATTCATGTGTGATATCGAATATGAGACCCTGTCAATGCTTAGATTGCATGCTTTGGATGCTGAATTTCTGTAGGATTTCTCTTGCAAATTGCTCTTAATGAACTTATCCTCGCTACATCATTTCTTGGAAAAGGCATCCATTTCAGTTGAGCTGTAAACCCAAAATAGTAAAGAAAAACAAGGTCTTCTTTAGTATTTATCCTCTCAGTCTTGTTATATTGGGTTAGAGCCTTTCTTATCGGGTCAAGTCTTTAGGAGTTGTTTTGACTCCATTTTTTGGGCGGTATTTTTGTATTCTTTCCTTTCTTCTTGATAGCAGCTTTGTTTTTTAAGGAAAAACAAAAAAATAGTGGCACTCTGCCAATATTTTGTACAAAATCCAAAGCACCTTTTCTATTTCTGGGCTGGTTTGTTTTGTATAAAAAAGAGGATCAAGGCCATATGTTCTGGTCTTGCTTGTTCAACATTATTTGTTGGCATAAGCTCTTGGAACTTGGAAGCCTTTGGGGTATATTTGGCTTACACCTCCAATTCCTTGTCCTTGCCTGAAAAGCATAATCACCATATCTAGATTTTCATAAGAGTGCTCCTAGGGGTGCCACAAGGTTTCTTAAAATTGTGTAAAGCCACCAAATGACAAAATAAGAAGTTATTTAACTACTAGATTGGAGACATTTTGTTTTTTGATTCTTCTGTTTTAGTCTTAGGGATTCTTCATCCCTAGGCCTTTAGGGCGTGTTCTTCCTCTTTTGATGTTTATTTGATTTCCTTGTTTCCCTACTAAACTTATGGTAATTTTATTTTTTTACTAAAGCTATGATGTCTCCAATTTCCTTAGAAGAAACTTTGAATAGTTAGTTTCCAGCATGAAATGAACGAGACATCTAGGAGTGCACAACCATCATTGTAACTATTTGAGGGGGAACAATAGGGATGCCAACCCCATACCTAGAGTACTTGTTAGATCCCACATCAGTTGGAGAGGGGAACATAGTATTATTTATAAGGGTGTGGAAACCTCTCTCTAACAGACGTGTTTTAAAACCATGAGGGGAAACTTGAAAGGAAAAGCCCAAAGAGGACAATATCTGCTAGCGGTGGGCTTGGGCTGTTACAAATGGTATCAGAACCAGGCACCACGCAGTGTGCCAGCGAGGACGTTGGTCTGCCTAGGGAGGTGGATTGTGAGATCCCACTTCGGTTGGAGAGGAGAACGAAACATTCCTTATAAAAGTGTGAAAACCTCTCCCTAACAAACACATTTTAAAACCTTTAGGGGTAGTCCGAAAAATAAAGCCCAAAGAGGACAATATCTGCTAGCGGTGGTGGACTTGGGCTGTTACAATATTATCCAATTTAACACCAAATTTTCAATCAATTTTAATGAGGTTCTCAAATAATTTGTTTGTTTTCCGTTATAAATAGCTGTGGTGATTACTGAATTTTTGTTGGGGTGGTGGATTTTATGTCTTTGTAGAACCTTTTTGAGGTTCTTGCCTTTTGCACTCTTTTACCAGCTATTTCTTATAGCTTTAGTATTTCTTAATAAAATTTTCTGTGAACTACAAAAAAGGGAAAAGATAAAGAATTGATGATGTTATGAAGATCGATAATTTGTTGTAATGACACCCATTAGCCTCTGTGGTGCAGCTATAATTCTTGGAATAAACTCAAATCCTGTCTTAGCTAAAGACGCACCCTCTAAGCCAAGTTCTGAAAATGGTATTGAGGAGAGTGACACTATTGGACTACGCAAAGTGGAGGATGGTTCTGTAATTTCAAATTTACATACTTCAAAGTGGAGGGTTTTTACTGATAATGCTCGGGACTTGTTTCTGCAGGCAAGCATGTTTCTTTTACCTTCACTAGCAGTTAATTTTTTTAATGATTTGCAGAAAGAAGTATCGTAATCTTTTTCTTTAATCAGGGGAAACTTGAAGAAGCTGAAAGATATTTTGTTTCTGCGATTCAAGAAGCTAAAGAAGGTTTTGGGGAGAGGGATCCTCATGTTGCTTCTGCCTTCAACAATCTGGTATTGTAGCTGCTGTATTTTCTAATCTTTTTCTTGTTTTACCTTGATAGAATCATTGAGTAGAACTTTCCTGCAGTCACTGAATAACCTAATGGAATAAGATTTCTTCCAACCAAGAGGTTAGACAAAATATTTGGAGTAGTAAAATAACCTGCCTTTAGGCTGTTGCCCTCCAAGATTGGGAGGCTGTGCTTTATTAGATTGGTTGAGTAGAGGGAACCCTCACCCCTCTACCCTTAGGCTGTTGTTCTCATTTTGTCAGTATATTTCTGTTTTAAATATTTTTTTATATTAAAAAAGCCCAGTCTTTAGATGCATCATATTATTTTGGTTATTAGTTATTATTAAACCTGGAGACTTTTTTGCTTCATCAAAGTCATCATTTAGTTTATATATTATATATCAAGATACAGACTGATCGTTAATCAAAGAACAAACAAGAAAGTAAGGATGTAAATTCCAAAATGAGGTCTTCATGTTGTTGGAAGTAGTATCTAAATTTGTTGGGCTAGATTACCTACAAGTTTTTGCCATATTTGCATTTGTGCGTTCCTATTATTTACATTAAATTGACGTAGAACCTAGGTTGTTAGAATTCAGGAATGGTTCTAATATCAAAACTTCTTTACTAAAATCAGGTATTTACCTTGCATAGAAAAATCTACAATCAAGGACTGTTATGCGATAATGCCATTTATTTTAGATTGTGAAGCATTACCAAGTAATAAATACATTTTGCTATGCTCTTTTTAGGCAGAACTGTATAGAGTCACGAAAACATTTGACAAAGCAGAGCCCATGTATCTGGAGGCCATCAACATATTGGAGGAATCCTATGGCTCTGAAGATATAAGGTTCTTGAATCTTGCTATCTTTTTCTATGTAGCAAACCTCACATTTTTTCCTTACATGAACTAGAAGCATCCTTTTTATCAGCTTTACTTCGCTTGTACATGAACTAGAAGCATCCTTTTTATCAGCTTTACTTCGCTTGTACATGAACTAGAAGCATCCTTTTTTTTTTATTGCATGAAAGCAACATGTACTTCTCTAATTTCCTATGGGATGTTAAGGAACTTCCAGCTGGAATATCATGATGAGGGCCTTGATATGGTAGAGTGTAAGGCCTAGCATGCAATGTGGCCAGGTAGGGGTGTAAGACAGAACATGGAGTGCTGGAAGGACATGGAGGGCAATCTGTGATGATAGCATGTGTTGTAGATGATTGTATGGGTGTGTAAGGATATGATTGAACAAACTTTTGATGACTGATGCCTAGGAGAAGGGTGCAAAGACGATAACTTTGGAGTATGTGGGTGGCACAAATGATTGACTAAAGACCATGACTAGTGTCACAGCCTTACTATGGAGAGAGTTATGGAGAGAGTAGGTTGTGACCCTCAGGTTGCCACAAAAGAAGCGGAGATCCTCAAGTGGCGCCCATTCGACCACGTGAGGGTCTAGACAAGTGCCCTAATGCGGCTGAGGAGGACGGTACATCATCTAACACACACAGAGTGGGTATTGAAGAGAAGATGAGGCATAAGCAAGATAAGGGTAAAGAGTAGACAAGAGTGTCAAAGATAGGCTTGTTGAAGGGCTAGATACGGTCCCGGGTCTTAACCTTGAAAGTTGGTGTTTTGAAGGGAATTTGGGCATGCGGTCGTGGAGTCAAGTCCGTCCTATGAAATATGAAAGCTTGCCGAATTTGGTGTCAATTAGACATCGGACGGATGCTCCACAACAACGTATGTCCGTTCGCCAAAATTATGTCTACACCCGCCAGTTTGAAAATGCCTCAAAATGTTCTTCAGTATGATGCATGATGTTAGCTCTCCACCACCCCTGGACCCTGTGGCCTAAGCGAGCTACCCTATGACACATGTGTATGTCACAGTGAGGGTGAACGTTTCGAGGTTATTCATGTTCATCTGTGTGGAAAGTACCCATGTGATAATCGATCTTCAATCGAACATGAATTTATCCCGTAGAAAATATAATATTTGAAAGTAGACATGTTTGCTTGATTAAATGTTGTGGTGTTTATTTGATTCACATTGCTTCAGATATTGTGCCTACTATAAAGTCAAAATTAATTTCAGTCTTGAGGTTTTAAAATCAGCTCTGCTTTGCTCTATCATTTTTCTTAACAGATCTAGTTTCATATATATATATATATATAAAGTATCTTTGATGTGATTCGAACTCTTATTGTTCAGAGTTGGTTCTGCACTTCACAACCTTGGACAGTTTTATCTAGTTCAGAGGAAGCTAAAAGAAGCCGGCAATTGCTATGAGGTATCAAAATATTCCAATTATTTTCACTTGTTCCCATTATGGTTACCATCCATATTTTTGCTAGTCGAACATCCTCATACTTTTGGGAGTTGGAGCTGATTGTGTGCGGTTGTCTCCATTGATGTGGTGCGGCTGGGAGTTGGAGGTCTAAGCTCTTGCTTCTTGGTCCCCACAGAAGTAGAACCAGAGCGAGGAGGGCCCAAACCTTAGTTATTTTATACCTTGTTGGAGAAGAGTTCAAGTACCCCTTCGGGGATTAAGTGGAACATTAGCCCGGGAATGCAACTTTAACAGCTCGGTTCAGAGAGGGATATATGGTCTCTCTAGATTCAAAAGGCAGCTTCTCCACTGAGTCTGCTTTTTTTTTTTCTTTTTCTTTTTTTTTTAAGTGGAAGAAACAATCCCAAAAATTAGTTCTGATCCTATGATGAAATTTTGCACTTATAAATACCTAAATAAAGTCAAGTTTTTTTTTTTTTTTTTGTTGTCTTCAGTTCATAGAGCCTTAAGCGCACATGAGCTGTTTCAAAGGAAGTGTAAAAATTGATCTTTATCACCCCTCTGTTTTTCTTGCCTCTGCCTGAGTTGTAAAGAGAATCTAGACCACATCTTTCTCCATTGTCATTTTGCTATCAAAGATTGCTCGTAGGTTACTTTTGGTTTGAATGCTTGCCTACCTATATCTATCTAAGAGTGGATCTTGGAGGCTCTCTGGGGGGTGGAAGATGTCTAAGAAAGCTATTATTTTGTGGAAACGTGTGGTTTGTGCCCTTTTGTGGCATATTTGGTTGGAGAGGAACCAAAGATCCTTTGAATATAAGTCGTCTTTCTTTTTATTATTATTTTTACACAAATGTACAGCTTACTGCTTTTTGGCAAGCTTTTAGTCCCAAGAAATTCTTTAGTAATTACAAACTTACTACTCTTTTCAACAATTCAACAATTGGAAAGATTTTTTGAAGTACTTTTTTCCTTGGGAGGGGTTCTCTCTACTCCCAAACCCCAAGGTTGTTCCTTCTTTTGTTTTAGTGCAATCTCGTCTCTTATTAAAACAACAATTATAAGGTGTCATTAGGTTTTAGTGAAATATAATTTACCAGTAATTTTATGGTCATACTCATGATTTGAGGGTAGAATTTCATTTTTATAGCTTTCCTACTTATAATGATTTTCCCCCTAGATTAGTAAATTTGATATGTGATAGTTTCTCGATGTTATAAACTCCTTTTATCAATGCTTACTTTAAATATTATCTACAAATTAATTCCGAAGCCTAGTTATTAATATATATTTTTTTTTTTTTTGCATTTTGTCTTTTAATGATTCTTTGATGTGCAAATTCATGCTAACATTTTTTTTCCCCTTCTGGCTGATGTTATATGATCTGGTTGACAGCGAGCATTGAAGGTAGGAGGCTTGTCATTTGTACTCGAATAAATAATTTCTGTTCTGTTTTGTCATCTCACTTATGATTTTTTGTTCTTCAGATCAAAGGTCATGTTCTCGGATATGGCCATGTTGATTATGCAGATACTATGTACCATCTTGGAACAGTATGCTCTGAGATCCTTGTTTTATCATATTAGTTTTGGCACATTGTTTTTTTTTTTTTTTTCCATCCTCAAAATATTTGACTTTCGACTGACATTTGTTTTTTTTTTAAATATACTAGATCAATAATCAGCTTATATAGTAACAGAAGCTAAATACTTGTACACGACCAAGTCTGGTTTCTTTCAATGTTGATTGTCTTGATACTTCAAATAATAATATATATTTTCCATGCAGGTGCTATACCTTTTGGGGGAGGAAAAAGATTCTGAGGCCCTGATCCAGGATTCCATAAGGATACTGGAGGTATATCAACATCAACATTGTACCATAATTCCATTGTTACATGTTTCACAACCTTGTATTGTTTCATCATGTAGGAAGGTGGCCTAGGTGAGTCATTTCTTTGCGTCAGAAGATTGCGATATCTGGCTAAGGTTAGGCTTTATCCTATACTCTTTTACTTTCCATCTTTTCTTCTCTTTTGGTGTATCAAAAAAATTGACCCTTCATCACTTCGGGAAGTCTTTTCTTTGTTAGGATAGATAATGTTAGACATGCCTAGTTATCAACAAGAATAACACACCACCAGTTTTCATAATTAATCATAATATTTTAGAGGCACCCCAAATATCGCTATGATATGATTAGTGAATGAACTAAGTTACGTGATTTGGAGGCTTTATAGATTTTTGTAAATGTATAGATTGACGATATTTTTGCAACAATGGAACTTTTATGATCAATAAAGGACGAATAGAAATTTAAGATAGAAAAAATTGGGATGTTATGGATGCTAATTCATGATCTGATTGATTTATGATAAAGAAGTAATACTACTAAAACCTTCGTTTGTTTGTTGTTGTTTTAATACTAATTTATCATTCATCAAAGTAGCAGTAGAGACCATTAAGCAACACGTTTAATCATTTTCTCTAAGTCTTATTTCTGAAAAATATAATGAGATTTGAAAATGTTATACAGTTAGAATCTCTAGAAAGCTTAGGATAGATGAAAGATTACTTGCTTTATGATCATGGGACAAAATGTAAGGAGATTGTCTAGGTTAGTTTAGTAGTTTATTTTCTTGCGGTAGATGGAGACTACCATTCAAGTCTCTAATTTTTTCTTTATAATAAGAAATAAAGTGAATCAAATAGATGAGAAGTACTAGTTGCAGTCGTTACGGTAAAAAACTGTTTATAGTCCATGGAGATGAATTACGAGCAGGAGAGTAGGATTGTTGAATATATATGATTATTGATGCATATGTGAGCATGTTAGTTTTCTCTTATACATTTTTCCTAATTCTTCCCCCTTTTTAATCATATTCTATAGTTCTACTTGAGCTATCGTTAATAATTTTGTTGTCTTCCTGATGCTCCAGATATATATGAAGTCTAATAATCTCTTTGAAGCTGAGAATGTGCAAAGAAAAGTTTTGCACATTATGGAATTATCAAAGGTTCATCTTCATCTTTTCTTTTTTACTATATTTTTATGCTTTAGTTTTTGCTCGGGATCTAGTGCTCATGTAATGTCTTTTCCTTTTTGATGTGGAGTACATGCATTTGTATTTTCTAACTTCTTGATCTCTCTCTCAATTTTATGTCATGATTTAAGAATGTCTACTTCATGATTTTAACCTATATTGACATGACGCCTACAAGGCAACATGTTAAGGGTAGATTGATCAAAATTTGGTGATGAATACTCCAGTCTTTTCCATTGTTTGGTGAACAGTGCAGAATCTAGTTATTACTGAAATACACGGTGAGAATGGGAATTTTACTGACCACAGGAGAGGATATTGTGCTCAAAGTGGCAGGCCTTTTTAGCAAAACCTACTTGATAAACAATAAATCCTTACCATCACATTTTCATGTGACCAAGCTTATGACAATGAAGACACACTCTCTATCTTGTATTTGATCGTCAAAACTAGTCCTCAAATGAACTATATCAGATCTGATTGCAGGGTTTTGTTCCACCATTCCATTAAAAAATAAAAATGACACTCACGAAAACATAGATACAAAATTTGATTTGAATGCACAAAATTAGAGTCCAGCAGTAACCTAAAAAAATTTAGTACGGAGGGAATTGGAAGCCAAAAACCCTTTTTCCTTCCTGAAATCATTCCAAATATGAGCTACTTTTGATCAAAATAAGCATACAAGCTGAATGTGGACAGTAGGATGGTTGAACCACGACAATGGTTGGAGAAATTCAAGCCAATCTGCACCCTCAGAACTGACATGTAAGACAAAGGGTGGATGCTTCCGGTTGCGCATGGAGCCTATGTGCAGTTGATCTGGCAGTGACACTTTAGGGTTTGTTAAATTAACCGACAGTCTTCCTCAAAGGTTGAAGCATTCCAAAGTAGTGCTTCCAAACTCCAAATTGTAACTCAAGAAAATCCTAACGGCCCACAAAGAGTACTATGGGAGATAAAGGGAAGGAATACTTCATATCATTCCTTTATACACACACTGGGGGTTGATACTTGTGAAGCAGAATGACTATCAAAATTAGAATTTAGTATATTGTGCAATGTAACATAGAGTTCATTATAAGTTTTGATCTTTAACTAACATTGCAAGCGATATTTAGTAATACTTAACCCCCATAGGTTTTTTGTTTCTGTTGTGTGCCTGCTTGTGTGTATGCATACTTCCTTGGTCAATTGGCGAACTCAGTATATCTCTTATGGGTGTAGGGCTGGAATTCTCTGGAAACTATAAATTCTGCTGATGGCTTGGCCTCAACGTTATATGCCAATGGATGCTTGAATGAAGCACAGGAGCTTTTTGAAAGGTAAACTGATGAGTGTTAGCAACTTACAAAAAAGAGTCTTCTAACGAAGTCATTTCTTTCAGGTGTCTTGATGCACGGAAAACCTTACTTCCTAAGGACCACATCCAGGTTTTCAATTTATAACATTCAGATTGTATTCTGAGGACGTGATTAATAAAATAACGATACTCTTATTTTCCTGTTTAATGCATTTTTGTTTTTGTATGTTAGGGAAATGATGAAGTTTTAGAAAATGCATTATTTTTTCAGTTTTGTCTGAGACATCTGCTCTTCGACTAATAATAACTCCATATCTACTAATGTGGTGCAGATTGGCGCTAACATGCTTCACATTGCTCGAGTGGTAATGCAAAGTTCCAAAGAACTAAAGGCGACTGATATTTCTAAAGCAGTTATTGGAATTGATAAAGCTAAAGAACTTTTAAGTAACTCTATAAGGTTTGTATTGGGATTTCACTTTTCTATCATAATCCAAAGGGCAGCTCTAGGGGTCATATACGCAGGCTAAATTCTAAGAAGGAAATAACTTACTAAAGAAACTAGAAAATTATGCGGGAAGAATAAATATTCAGAATAATAGTTAAATGAACCCGTATGTTCGGGACTTTACAATCCATGGGAACATGTTAGGAAATTCAAGGGCCTACAATCTTTCAAAACCATCCATATCCATAGTAGTAACCATTGCCATTGCCGAAGTTCTATCTTCTAGTGTCCAGGTTGCGATCAAAGTTTCTTAGCATTTCTGTAGAAATAGATTTGCGAAGGCCAATCTTTGAATTTGAGATCTTCAAGAAGAAAATTAAAATGATGAAAACCCTTTGCAAATTAGCTTGGTCTCCTGAACAAAAAAAATGATGATAATTGATTTGAGAAAATTTGGTTGGAAATAAGTCGAGACCATCTAGCAACATTCTGAAAGATTTACTTTGTCTAGCTATTTGTTATTGAGTTGATAAAACGTGTTCAAGTGTGGTCATATATATGTTACAAGCCACCTACCACTGCTGTAGGAGAAGCTGAAGTGTAGAAGGATAACATGGGAAGGAAAAGAGCAGCTATGCTTAAACAATTTGATGGAAACTGGAAATATTCTTTTACTTGATGTAAGGGGGGTAAACACCTTGAAATAGGTAAAATTGGAAAATCATATAATTTAAAATGCCTACTAGTATAGGAGGCCTCTAGCTTCTTGAATTTAATCTTCTGAAAGATAGAATTATATAGACCATTAATCATGTTAGCTTTACAAGTTTAATTGGATTGTCCGAAATCCTTCCCCACATTTAATAGTCATCATGAAAAATAAGGATAGTTAACCTAGATGACTTTATGACTCAAAATCACCGTAGTTAAGCTGGGTAGCCTGGGTTATGATTTTACTATAAGCTTATGTAAATATCACCCAATGGCAGGATATCACGAGGAGCATTAGATAAAATAAGCAAGCATGGTGAGAAGAAAAAAATTCATGAAGATGGAGAAACTAGAAGGGACGGGCGTACTGCACTTCTCATACTGGTCAGTTTTCCTTTCTATATAATGAAGAACGGCAGTTTCGTCATATTTAACGCTTTCCTGTTAAATTTGTTTTCTTGAAATGTATCCATAACCCAAATTTATGTATCTAATTATCAATCCGTAGAAACTCACTCAATTCATGAGCTTTTACGCATCAAGACCATTGCTTGGTACTGCCAATAGGTTTGAAGGTTTGAGCTGAACAACTATTTTAGATGTAGCTATTTAGTTAAATGTAAATTTATTCAAAGTCGACCAAAATGAAATGAGTGAGTATGTGAATAATTATTCTAAACCAAAATCAGAATAGAACAATATCTTCTTGATGTTGATTGTTTTTTTATAACCAAACAATGAACCGAAATCTTCATTTTGGGAGTTGGATTAAAGTTTTTTGTTCGTACATATCAACTCAATATGAGAGAATGTGCATCCACACTACAGAATGTTTACTCTCAATATTGGTTGTCTTGATGTTGGTCATTTATATTAAGGAATATAACAGATATAATTTAACTAATAGAGTACCTCAAATTAAGGGTTCTCTTTATTTCAAAAGAAACAAAGAATGGAGCTCATGAAATTGAAATACCAGGTGCATTAGTGTGTTTGTCCATTGTTTCATCCACGTTCTATGTTTATGTCCTTTCAATAAGATCAAGACTCATGGATGGGAATTTTCTCATGTCAATTGGAGATCTATATTGTGTTGCAGTTACAGTCGCTTGATGCTCTAGGACATTTGGAAATCACCGTGCAAGAGATGAAAGTATCAAAGGTTAGCAGTGATGGCTTATTTAAGTGATGGTGTCCTAAACTTACAATTGCTTCTGAACTGTAGTATTGGTGTCGTAAGTATATGAGTGTGCATATGTCTTAATATCTGTGAGGGTTTTGGCCGGTTTACTTAATCCCAACTGATCTTAGGTGCAACCATTTGACCCTACAAACATAAAATCCTTTTGAATTATGCGATTATATATATATATAATATGTAACAGAATTGAGATAAAGATATTTGTTTTACACTTCCTCGGATTATGTGTTGGCTAATATTGGGTCCAGTTGGTGAGTTGTACTCACCTTGAAGGCGGGCAAATACATGATGGAGTTTTGTAGAACAGTTATCCAACTGAGAGTGAACCGTTGTAGAGTCGGTCAGTTCAGTTGATCTTTCATAAAACATTTTTGGCATCAAGTTGAATCCTAGGGACAATGGAAGAACAAGTGAAGACTAAAAATCTAAGGGACTACCTTTCCAAAACTAAAAACTAGAAAAATAAGGACAGAGGGAAGAGAGAAGATGTAACAATAAACTTATTTAATTTTATTGAATTCATTTGGATCAATTGTCACATTCCAGAAGCAACGAGTCTTCCGTCTTTGTTGTGCCCTCATTCATCAATATAATTTCATTGGCTCTTCTTTGAGTAACCGGAATGTGTTATTACAGGAGGATCCTTCGCTTGTTCAGGCTGAGAATGTTCTCTTTGAATGCATTTCAGCTTATCAAAAGGTAACACGGTCTTATGATTGTTATTATTTCTGTGCCTTGAGCTTGACATCAATGGCCACATAGTGACCTGCATGGCTGCATATGCATTTTAGACAATTCGGGTGATGACAATTTTGATTTTTGTTTAAGAAATCTTGTTTACCATCTCTTTAATTTGTGATTTACTTTCTAGATGCATTTTCAAAACCTAGTTTTCTAAAACTTGATTGTTATTACTATTTTCTGTTCTTAAAATCTAGCCAACATTTTGAAATTATTATCAAACCAACCTTTATTTCTATTGCTAATCAATCCCTATACACAGGCTGGATATATAAGTGTATGTTCACAATGACAATTTTATGAAACCATTACGAAATGATACTTAAATTTTGTTCTAGGAAATGTCTAACCATTCCAGTTTTTTAGAATACTGATATAAATGCTTTACATTTCCAGTAGTTTTATTGATAGTACCATTTTCAAGTGAATTCTTTTAGCTAAAATTTTATTTTGTGACCATATTTTCTTAGAATCTGTATTGAAACATAAAAATTATTCTGTCGTCGGGCTTGGTTCTGTACTCATGTTATTAAAATGAGCCGACTTGAATATAATTCTGAAGACATTAGTTATGGAACCAAAAAGAGAAAAAAGAGACTTCGAAATATGGTTGGATGCATTTTTGTGGAATAGGTTTATCAACTATTGTATAAAATTACATTTAAAATACTCTCTACAATGCTCATGGAATTTGTGGTCTTGAAGAACAGCCTGAAGTAACTGTTACATCCCCTTTTTACCCACTCTTTAATACGTGTTAACAATTAGGGGTCTCAAAAACATTGGTACATTTGTATTTGAACTTGTTCTAAAGATCTTGAACCAAATTATGAATGATCACACAAATGCAGTTCAAAGGTACAACTTTTGAAACTCCTGAAGTCAAGGCTGAGTACTTCTCTTGTTTGAAGCGTCTCTCGATCCTGATTAGTGATGACAAGACGAGTAGGCAGAGAAGAATGAGTTCACAAGATCTACAGGATGAAATCAGTCGCCTTGAGGTCGAATTGTCTCCATACAGAAAACAAAAAAGTTAAAAATCTTGTTACTTATTCAGGCCTGGAACATTAGTATGGCTTAATGGCTTCTCTTCATCTACCGCAGCAACATGGGAAGGTTCCCTACTAACTTCATCTCTCTTCCATTTCTTAATTATTTATGTTGGTTTATTTTCCCCTTTCCTTATTCTGCATATTGGCCTAAGCCTTAAAGTGATATTTACTTGCAATGAAAGAGCTGCTTGGCAATCTTTTTTCATCTCATACCATTGGTTTTTTTTTTTTTTTTTTTTTTTTTTTTTTTTTTTTTTTTTTTTTTTTT